TGTCTCTCTCTCTCTCTCTCTGTCTCTCCATCTCTGTCTCTTTCTCTTTCTCTGTCTCTCCATCTCTGTCTCTGTCTCTCTCTCTGTCTCTCTCTCTCTGTCTCTTTCTCTGTCTCTCCATCTCTGTCTCTCTCTCTCTCTCTCTCTCTGTCTCTGTCTCTCTCTGTGTGTCTCTTTCTCTCTGTCTCTCTCTCTGTCTCTCCGTCTCTCTGTCTCTCCGTCTCTGTCTCTGTCTCTGTCTCTCCGTCTCTGTCTCTCTCTCTCTTCCCCCCCACCCCTTCTCACACACACACACACAATTGAAATCTCAGAGGACTGATTTAATTTTTGTAATGCCTGGTTGAACTTTCATCCTTTGTTAGTTGACAGTTGTGGCTGCTGAAACCCGAAAGCTTGGGGAGAAATAAGTGTGGATTTTCCTTCTTGGTCCAACGTTTTAAGTCATTCTTTTCCTAACCCAGAGGTCATTTCCCAGAATTCTCTGCAATGGCCACCGTGGATGGGGAATTCTGGGAGTTGATGTTTACCCAGCTGAAGCTGATCCAGTTAGAGATGCCTGATTTAAACTCCGTTAAAGCCACTGGCTGCTTGAGTGTGTATTGATCCGTTTTGTTCGATTTAGCAGCTGCACAACACCGAATGACTCTGGCTCATTTACGTATGAGAAGTTGTGAACCGTAAAAAGCAAAGAGAAGGATCATGAAGTTGCCGAAAGAGATCGCAGATATGCCCATTTCCTAGATTGCTCCAGAGATAGACTAGAGCACAAAGGCTGTAAAGACCAATGGTTCCCCCCTGGTGGCCTACTGCATGGTTGGTTGCCCTTGACAGAGGTAGCCAGGCACAAGAAGTTGGCAATGCCCGCTCACTTCTCTCCTCTCTTCTCTTGAAAGCCACAGCCGAACAGCAAGTATAAAACCAGCCTGTGCCGTGACCTCAGACAGCAGGGCGGGTGTCCACGCGGGACCAACTGCACCTTCGCTCACTCGCAGGAGGAGCTGGAGAAGTAAGTTCTTTGGGGTGGGGGAAACAACACCCCGCCCCATCCCCATGTGCCTGGGGCCTGAGGTCAGCTTGCCAGCCTGGATCCAGGTGTCCCATGTCGATTACATTCTTATGTACATTGAGAGCCTATGCACCAAAGACAAATCCCTTATGTGTCCAATCTCACTTGGTCAATAAAGAATTCTGTTCTGTTCTGTTCTAGTTTTATTTCTATTCTAATTCTATTCTCATTCTATTCTATTCTAATCTCTATTCTATTCTTATGTCTGTTCTGTTCTGTTCTGTTCTATTCTATTCTATTCTATTCCATTCCATTCCATTCCATTCTATATTCTGTTCCATTCTATATTCTATTCTGTTCCGTTCCATTCTATATTCTATTCTATTCTATTCTATTCCATTCCATTCCATTCCATTCCATTCCATATTCTGTTCCATTCTATATTCTATTCTGTTCCGTTCCATTCCGTTCCATTCTATATTCTATTCTATTCTATTCTATTCTATTCTATTCTATTCTATTCTATTCTATTCCATTCCATTCCATT